AGGATGGAGGATAGACCTGGTGAGAGAGCAGGAGCGAGCTGTGAGAAAGAAGAAAAGAACACAGGTTGACAGACTTGAGTCAGAGTCATCACGGCATAGAGTCTGAGTGGAAGAAAGGAGAAGAGAAGGGAAGGGAAGGGAAGAGGAGGGGAAGAGAAGAGAAGAGAAGAGAAGAGAAGAGAAGAGAAGAGAAGAGAAGAGAAGAGAAGAGAAGAGAAGAGGAGGGGAGGGGAGGGGAGGGGAGGGGAGGGGAGGGGAGAGGAGGGGAGGGGAGGGGAGAAGCCAAGGAGAAGACCCATATTTTATGATTTGGGCAGCTGAATAGATGATCTTCACATTCCAAGAGAGAATATAAGGGGAGGAATGTGCTTTAGTAGAGGGTAGTAATTAATAAATTTAGGGACATGTTGACTTCAGGTTGCCTATGGAGTATCTCAGTGAAAACTGAAACAGTCAGAAAATACACAGATCTGAAACTCAGAATAAAGATTTAAGAATCACTTTAGGAGTGACTGAAACTGTGAGCTCAGAAGAGAAGAGAGATAAGTATACAATTTAAGGAATACACATAGGAGAAGAAAGTAAAAGGAGAGGCTAGAGAGAAAGATGGGAAACCAGGAGAATGTAGAATCACGGAGGCCAAAAAAAGGTATACAACATAAGATGATGTAGGCCCTTGTTCAAGATCAGGAAATATGAAGACCAAACTGTATGAATTTAACTAATGAGTAGGGGTCATTACTTTGTGATGTAGTCATGGTGGGATATGTATTGGAGTGACCTGAGGAGAAAGTGGGAGGTGAGGCAGTAAAAACTGACAATCCTTTCAAGAGTTGTGACTGTGAAGCTAAAAAGAAACACGAGGTCTCTTTCAATTTCCAAGTTTTCTCATTAAACTGCTTGAAAGAATTCCTGCAATATATAATGAAGGCAATATATACATTTAAATGTCCATGTGCCTAATAATAAAGCTCAAGAGACAGAATTTATCTTTCTCTGTGTGATGTATAAAATATAGTTATTTTGGTAAACAGTCATATTGATACCACTCCAAAACAGCAAGCAATGAATCATAAGAGCCCCTTCTTCTAGGTTTCCTTCCCAGATACCACCCCGTGATATCTATGGTTGCTTATCAATCCAAAGTGGCCAGTCACAGTTCCTACTGTCACTGGTATTTTTGCTGCCTTGTCACCACAGGGTGTAGATTTTGAAAACAGGTAGTCCATCTGTTTGGTGCCATACCTGCCAGCTTTAATAGTTGATCCTAGAAGCTGAGTGAAGGGAAACTCTATGACTCCTATTTTTGCTCTCCCTTGGAAGAGTTCTTAATAACTGCCCATTTCAATTCTCTTCTCTCTCTCTCTCTCTTACTCTCTCTCTCTCTCTCTGACACACACACACACGCATATACACACACACACACACACACACACACGCTGTTTTCCCTATAGCACACCCACAATATACCCAGAAGAGCCTTGTTTAGCTATATACTGTGTATCCTTCAAGTTTTTTTCTAAGAACAGGTGTGGGCATGGTTTTCTATTGCCCTGAACTCTGGCAATTAGAGTTTACAGCAAATTCCATTGTCTTAGTAAGACAATTATTACATCGCAGAATATACGTGCTAAAGACTGCATTTTCATTTTAATATCATGTGAAGATTACCAAAGTCAGATCTTTTTTCTCTCTCTTTAAAAAATGTTTTATTGTGGGAAAATATACATAAAATTCTCCATCTTGACCATTTGTAAGTGCACTCACAATGCTGTGTAACCATCCCCACCATCCATCACCATAGCTCTTTTCATCTTGTAAAACTGAAACTCTATATCCATTAAACTCAATTTTCCTCCTTAAAAAAGACTTTCTCCTGTATTTTTATGTTTAGTCTGGAGAAGAAATGTCCAATTTAACTCACTAAGCAGAGAGTCTTATTTCTCAGCCTATAACAACTAAATGAGGATTATAGTGATCTCATCTTTTTTCAAAGAACAATATATGGGTACATTCCTTATAACCATGCAGCTAGAAGGTCCTTCCTGATGATTTTCCCAAAGCAATGGGCTGTGGACTCCAAATGCTGTTGACATCTTCTCCGGTAACCCTTCAGTGGCACTTTTATTGGCCATTGCAGACTTCTGATTCTATAGCAATTTTTCTGATGTTGTCAGGTTTAAAGAAATCAATGGACTCCAAACGCCTTGAAAAAGAATTTGGATCTTTCTTTAGATTTCTTCACAAGAGACAGAAGTGTCCCAAGTTGTGTCAGTCATAAGGCTTCCCCCAAATCCTCTGCAGACATTCCTTTGTATTATGACATTTTCTCCCCTTCTGGTGTTACTTGAAAGATTTTATGCTTTGCTGTAGTAGAAAATTCACCTGACACTAAAGTGTATTAATTTTATTGATAAAGTTCATCAGCAAGTCTCTTAAGTAGTCAGACAGCTCCTACGTAACAACAGTCAAGTCTCTGAAACCCACACTGCCTAGAATAGTGACATGGTGAGCATAACTGGGGTCCAATAAATATGTGGAGTCCTTCTGGATAGCTACCCAGGGTCTCCAAGTAATTACACTGTGACCAGAGAAAATCAGGTTTGATCAGATTAAAAACAACAGCAACAACAACAACAACAACAACACACACACACACACACAGCTTAGAAGACTCTCCAAGTACATAAGAGGCAATTTTAATATTTCAAAACTCTCAAAAAAAAAATAAAAAAAAAAAACCTCTCAAAATGTCCATGTCTTGTGATCCAGCACCTAAGCTGCAGAGAAGTTAGTCTAAGGAAATTATTTAGGTTGTGTATGGAGATGCTTGTACTTGAGTGTTCTCTATACATTAAGCATGTGAGAAAATCACTAAAGTACTAAGAATTTATACCAAGGTGACAGGTATCATGCTGATAAAATTATAAGCATTACCTTGCTAATTCTCACAACAATCGTATGTAGCATTTACTACAATTACTCCATTATTAGATAAAGAAATGGAAGCTTAAAGAGATTAAGGAACTTAGTTAATGACATCCAGCTAGTGAATGGCAGAAGCAGTAACCAAACCCAGGACTAACTTAAAAATTTTGTTCTTATCCACTATACTTTACCAGAAGAATCACAACTGTCAATTGTTTTGTTTTTCTTTTTCTCTTTTTCTCTTTTTTTCTTTTTCTTCTTTTTCTTCTTTTTCTTTTTCTTTCTTTTTCTTTTTCTTTTTCTTTCTTTTTCTTTTTCTTTTTCTTTTTCTTTCTTTTTCTTTTTCTTTTTTGAGAGAAAGAGGAAGCAGGGCCAGGGGTGGAAGAAAGAAGGAAAGGGAGAGAATCTTAAGGGCTCAATCTCACAATCCTGAGATTGTGACCTGAGCCAGAATCAAGAGTCAGACGCTTAACTGAGCCACCCAGGAGCCCCTTAATTTTTCCAGAGACAGTTGTCAATTATTAAGTAAATTATATTATGTTTACACCCAAATACTATATGTATATTAAATAATACATTTCCAGGGAAGGTGGCTGGCTCAGTCAGTGGAGCATGGGACTCTTAATCTCAGGGGATCATGGTTCCAGCCTCATGTTGGGTGTAGAGATTACTTAAAAATAAATAAAGATAATACATTACCAAATCTATATTTTAACACAGAAGTATATTTATATAGTACTAGTTTAATTTCTGGTGTATGGATTACAAAACAACATATGCAATATGATCTCATTTTTCATACAGTATCTATCATCTATCTGTCTACTACCTACTCATTTAGAAAGAATATACACCCAAGATGTTAACAGTGACTATAGCTAAACTTGTGAACTTATATGAACTTTTTTGTTTTTTCAATTTTCCCTGAAAATATTTTCTAGCCATTTTTTTATAATGAGCACATGTAGCTTTTATATTAGGGGAAATATAATAAAAGGAAAACCTCAAATTTAACATGCAGTAGAAATTCCTTGATAATAAGACTATTCACCCTCACTTCACTCCTGTATCTAGCAGAGTGTCATACTCAAGAAATACTGAATGGTCCCCATCTTCACATGGCACATAGTCTAGAAGGTGAGCTGGGGCTAGAGAGGAGAAGTCCATGACAGAGGGTGCTGTGCAGAGCTGTATGACATGGAATAGAACAGATGGGGCATAGGAGGACCTGCTCTCTAACATTAGTAACTTCAGGTGGATTTCTTGTCTTAAAATTTTAATTTTGACATAATTTCAGAAATGCAGGAAGGTTGCAAGGAAAGTACAAATAATTTCCAGGTACCCTTCACAAGATTCTCTATTTGTTAACATTTTACTACCTGTCTTTCCCACTGCATTTCTTTTGTTTTTATTTTTTCCCGTTAGAAATATTTATTGAGGACCTCCCATGTGCCAAGGAGTTTTCTAGGCACAAAGGGATACATTAGCAAACAAGAAGTCAAGATCTGGTCTTTCAGGGAGTCCCTATTCCAGAAGATACAATTCATTTATTTGATAGACATTCTGAGTATTTAACTATGAGGACTTTTACGGGGCATTGGGATACAGCACTAAAAGATACCTCTTGCTTCAGTGAACTAATCGAGATCAACAAGGAAGAAGAAATTAAATAACAAAAAGACAGCATAATTGAGATATACATGGGTACTGTAAGAGCATAGACATAAGGGACCAAACCCAGACATAGATGAGGAGAGGTGTCAGAGAAAGCCGATGGTCAGCTTAAGGGCCCCAGCCTTACTTGTTCTTCAACTTCCACCATTCCTCCAAACCTTGTGCATTTTTTTTATTTACTCTCTCTCTTACTCTCTCTCAAATAAATAAATAAATAAATAAATAAATAAATAAATAAATCTTTTTAAAAAAATGTTCCCCTGTATTAGAAACCCTCTGGTAGGAAGCTTCCTCTTGCAGAGGCTATAAACTCCCTTCCCCTCCTTGCGCCACCCACTCCCATTGCCAAGAACACTGAACAGGAAGAGGCCTTTACTCAGGGATGCTACCAAGATAGAGAGACTGTGTAAAGAAAGAAGGGCAGTGCTTGAACAGAAGACCATATTCTCTGAAGGTGCCTCTGCCCACCACACCAAACATAAGGCCACCCAGAAGATCCTCACCTGAAAACTAGGCCAGCCTTCCCAAGAGAGAGCAGGTAAGTCTGTTTGTCTTCACTGTATGATTGTTGACCCTTTTCCAATGCCAAAAGACACTTGTCTTGTCTGTCAGAGTCCTGGCATAGTCTTTGGGAGACTGAGACTTCTGACAATTGAAGTCAGTATGGCCAATACCACAGAGAAGGTCCTAGAGAACAAGGTCATTTCAAAGCTAAGGGTTCTCAAAGTCCAGGAGAGGATTTACTCCATTAGACAGAGTTTAGGAGGCCATAGTTAGAGAGGGCTAAAATCTAGAGCTAAGATATGGGTGAAGGAGAGGTACCATGCCAAGTTCAAAGGCTCCCAATCAGTACAAGATCCTGTGTGTCTTCTAGGCATGGGCTGGATCTCATTCTTGAAGCTAGCTGTCAATGCTACACCTGCCTTCCAAGCCCTCCAGGGGTGCTCTGAGAAAGGCATGTGTCCTACTCAAAGAAGCCTTTCTTTTCTCCCAGATCCTAAAAGTGGACTGTGCTCTAATCCCCACAGGTCTCCTCAGCATCTCCATCATGAACTGGCACATGATCATCTCTGTGCTTACCATAGTGGTGCTTAAAATTGTTGGGATGACCTTATTTCTGCTTTATTGTGAGTATTTGAGCAACCTCTTATCCCAACCACATTCCCTCTTATTCTTTGACTTTCCTCTCAGAATGCAAAGTTGACTATAAAGGCTACATGCTTAAGTCTTTCCACCTTAGGGCAACAACCCAGTGTAGGGGCAACTGACGATACTCTTCTCACTCCCTGACACACACCATGGGCCAGGTTCCTCAGTCTGCCTTGGAGATACAGAACTGGCCAGCATCTGATGGTTAAAACACCACACAAAGGTTTTGCCCCTGCAGTGTTAGCTGGGCAATCTGAGGTGAAATACTCATCAGCTTGTTACTGTTCCTCAAACTTGAAAATCAGTGCCAGTTCAACCCAATGATAAGGCTGAAGAGCAGCATGATGAGGTAATGGGATTTTACTGGGAGAGAAATTGCCCTCTATGTCTACAGAAACTTTCATCCAGATGCTTAGAAGAGGCCTCATAGGAAAGGGTTTTTCCATAGCTGCAAGAATCTTCTCCAGCCCCAGGAACCAGTGGGGAACATAAATGAGGAAGGAAATGTGAGTAAAAGACAGCAGTTAGGTAAGAGGCATCTTCCCTTTGACCTAAACTGAAGACACAATGAGTGCCATATAAAAGAGCAGGAACGAAATATGAATATGAATAAGTAAACACATTTGCAAAAAAATCCCATCTATGCATCCTTTGGTGACCTGAGTGGGAGAGCTCTGGATCTCACAGCAAGAGTCATGGTGTCCCAGCAGCCCCGGCAGGGGGAGGGGAGGGGAGGGGGAGGGGGGGTGTTAGTTTGTTATATTCATCCTACCACCACCTTTGGGGCTGAACCAACAGTTGATTCTCTTTGTAGTCCCACAGATTTTTGGCGGAAGTGAAGACAGCCTCCTTCCCACTGAGATCTATGGAAGAGGTAATGTACATGATAATGATCTCCTCTGACCCTCTCAGTTCATGTGTGCAGACTTCTTACAGACCTTTCTCAAGGCTTCCTTTCCCAAGAAATTCATTTGCAGGGAGGGTCCATAAAGATATGCTATAAGAGGAATAAGTTCTGGGACCTAACGTACCGCATGGTGACTATAGTTAATACTCTATTATACACTACTTGAAAGATGCTAAGAGAGTAGATCTTAAATGTTCTCACTCCAAAAAAAAAAAAAAAGAGGTAATTATGTGAGGTGATAGAGGTTAGAACTAACCTTACTGTGGTTAATGATTTTGCAACATATACATGAATCAAATCATCACCTCGTACGCCTGAAACGTACACAATGTTTTAAGCCAATTATATCTCAATAAAGCGGGAAAAATAAATGCAGTACACTCAGAGATTTAAAAAAAAGAAAAAAGATCTTCTAATTAATTCCCTTGTTTTTATAGATAGGAAACCCAGACTAAGCTGATCAAAATTTTTGATCCTTGATTTTTCTCCTGGGTATGAGGATGATTTGTATATAATCACTGTAATGTCATAGGAAAGGACTTTATAAACTCTGACATGTTGTACACCTAAAGGAATTGTTATACAAGAAAAAAATCCCCAAAACCAAACCAGAACAAAACAAAAAACCCCAACCTGTGTCCCACAGTAAAACTCAAAGATTGTATTCAGCACTTTTTTGTGTTCCAAGTGCTCTGCTAGACCAACGATAGAAGAATCAGAACAGGAGCTATCAGTCAACCATCTCCTATGAAGCACAAGGCCCCATGCCAGAAGTCAAGGGGCATAAAGTGATGATTGAGATGTGGCTCTCCAGATTAAACCTTCCTCCTCTTAAAGCTTATCCAAGGACCTCCCTCTCACTTCATCTTAAAACATTTATTACTACATACATCTTGAGGAGAGAGATAATTTCTTGTTCAACTTTGTTATCAACTGAGGCTCCCAGTACAGTGAGCTATATGGAAGCAATTCATGAAATATTTATTTATGGAGTTCTGTTTAGTTATAATCCTCACATGGCTTCTCCTAAAAACCAGGTTATTTTATATTACAAAGAACCTTTGAACTGGGAACTGAAATAAAAAGTGAATACTAACTGGTATGTTTCATTCCTGTCATTGGAAGTAGCTGATGTGGTGTCTGGGTAAACTAAAGTGGTCTTCAGCCACACAGGACAAATAACTGGGCACCAAAAAAGGGGTTTCACCAGCTTCCAAAGCCACTGCATGGTTCACTTGGCCGGACAGTGCTCCTAGGAAAAATGAGGCTTCTTAGAGGCCTATCAATTCCCTTATTTATATTTAAAGAAACAAATAGACTCTTCTCTGTCCATAGGAAATTTCTAGATGTTCACCTCCCTCTGTGTCTGCCAATATCCCACATCCTTTGCTTCTGTTTCAGTGTCACCGACTTTTGGGAGCAGTGATGTCAGTTCAGTTCCCACAGAGAGTTCTAGAACAGGTAAATTGCATGATCATACTCTCCTCTCCATCCCAGGTCTTTATGTGCTGAATTCTTAGGCACTTTACCCATTGCCTCCTTTCTCATGGAACTTTCTTGCCCAAAGGGGCCATAAAGACCTTCTAATTCATCCCCTTCACTCTGTCCACAGGAAAACTCAGACTAGACTGCACGGGATTTCTTTCGGGATTAAAAATTATTTACATTGATATGACTTCTATAAAGAAACTCAAGCCTCACTATGGTTTGACTCAGTTCCAAGGTTCACACTTCAAACTACTAATCCTATACTCTCTTCTCTTGGATTTATTTAGCTTGCTCCAGGACGTGGTATTTTCTTCAAAGAAGATGCTTTTGGTTGTCCCCTTTTGAACTGTCTTGGTACGAAAGCAGGGACTTTTGCAAAACAGAAGCATCCACTTTGGCCATTGTCAACACACCAGAAAAACTGGTGAGAGCACTGGGATGATGCAGTAAAGCAGCCCCCCCTATAGCAGGTGGAGATGGTGGGGCAATTTGATTAGTGGACAGGGGCAGGGTGGAGGTGAAGAATGGGGAGGTGGCTGGCTGAGAGTCCCAGCTCCTTGCTCTGAATCTGAAGGTGAGAGACTCTTCTCAGTAGCAGTGGGGAATATTCCTCAGATCATCCTGAGCGAGGGAAATCCACACTTTTGGTGTCTCCCATGAGGCTTAGTGGTGCACTGGTATCCTGAGGATGGGGCAGGATATTTAAAGTGCAGGGAATAACCCCAAATGTGTTTAAGAGTTGCTTAAAACTTATAGAATACTTCATATACATGACCTCTTAATGTATCATGCAAGTCAGCCTCATAAATAAGGAAGATGCAAATTAACAAAATTAGCCATATGAACACTAAAGAATCAGGTCATAGAATTGGGATTGCAGTGTATAATTATGATAATAAAGATGGTTAACACAATGCAAAATCCTTTATTTTACTATTTCTTTTTATCCTCCTAATGATTCTGAGGAGGTTTTATTATCCATATCTTATATATGAGGAAGCTAGGGCACAAAATAATAATTTGACCTTAGAAGGTCATATACCTTTTAAGTGACAGGGCGGGATTGAATTGAGATCTTACTAGCTCTAAAACCCACACTCTAATCAATTTTAGATCATAAGTTATTTAAGTTTATAGTTGCCTCTCCTTCAAATCCTAAGCATCTGCTGAGTGCTAGGCATGTGGGAGATACTGTACGCCGGCTTCTCTGCCCTCCATCTTTCACTCCTACTCTATAAAGTCCTCCTGTGGTTGAGGAGGATTCATAAAAGGGCCCTTTCTGAATTTTGGTAACAGGTGTCCAACAAAGAGCAAGGGTCAGGATGCTACAGATCCTCTGAGGCTGAGTACACAGATGGAAAGGGGAAATGCCTTACAGTAGAAAGCCAGGAGTAAAATGGCAGGAGGGTTGGGAGGGAGAAAAGAAGAGAGGAATAAGAGGTTTGAGAGAGGAAGTTTACAGCCTCTTCCTCTACTCAACCCTCAAGTTCTGGTGCATCTCAAGTGTCTTCGTTGGCATTCTCCATTAAAAGCTCATTACACCAATGGTTTGCTAGTGATCTCAAGTCGGTATCCCCAGTGAGTCTTCTCTGGACCAAACAGAATATCAAAATCTACTTTGATGTTTCAAAAGCACCAAAAATTCACCATGCTCAAAACTGAGCAAAATTATATTTGCCTCAACTGGTTTCTCCTTTTATATTCCAAGTATTGATGAGCAGTCATTCCACCCAAGATTGAATGTGATGGTTTTCTGAGACTTTACCTCTTCTCTTCTCCCCTAAATTAGCTGCTAACCAAGTCTTTTCCTCTCTCCCCACAGCAAATTTTTCATATCTCACCTGGATTTCTTCCAAATTCTTCTAACTCATCTCTTTGCCCCTGATTTTGCCCCTTCTTACCTATCCTCCATGGAACCCACACAATAACATCTCTAAAACTCTAAAATGTCTGTGCCATTTTCCAAATTAAAGTGGGTTAAAGTCTGGTTTCTCCAGCATTATACAGTCTAGCACCCGCCTTCTTGCCAGTCTTATCTCTCCACTCACCTCCCTTCTACCTCTGCACAACCACATTAAGCAGCTTGCAGTCCCTCAAAATGCCCCAGACTGCTCAGCAAACTACCTGTGATCCAAATCTCTCCACTCCAGAAAGTCCAGTCCTGACCCATGCCGTCCCCTTGTGTTTTCCTGACAAACAGCTATCTCTCAGAGTCCATCTCCAGGATCACTTCATCTACAGTCTTTCTAGAAAAACCCCAAATCCATGTAGAATTGATCACTTCTTCCTTTCTGCCTGTGCTCTATCTAGTACATATTCCCTAGCATTCCTCCTGGGACACCTTGTTGCCATGCTGGTTAACTCCTCTATCTTCTCTTATTGGACTTGTGGATTTTCACCATGTTGGAATCACTGACATTTTAAAATGGTGATAAAATCGATAGAAATCTATAGAATCCCAGAAACAACATATTGGCATGATAGTTTGAATAAATTTCCAACAGCCTCAGGGATCCCCTTGGTAATCATACATGACTTTGTGCAAGAGAGTTAAGGGTTAAGAACCTGTACTTTAAACCATGGGTCAGCAAATTTCTCTTAAATGGTCATATAGTATATGTTTTATGTATGTTGGGTCATAAGGTCTCTATCACAACCACTTAATGCTGCCCTTGTGGCTCAAAATTAGCCATAGATGACATGTAAAAATGGGCCTGCATGTGTTTCATTAAAACTTTATTTACAAAAACAGGCTAAAGTCTGGATTTTGTCCACTGGCTATAGTTTGCCAACCCTTGTTTTAGATCATAATTTCTTTAAGGAGACACTAATTTGCTTTCATGTCCCCTGCCTTGGACCACAGCTCACCAGACATTCAAGAAATCTTTGTTAAATGAGACAATAATTTTAAAGAATAATGAAATGAGGTATTTGGGGGAAGGAGAATATTGGAAAAGGAGGAATAAAGGCAACAACTCTGGGTATGGAGGGAATATCCAAGTGAATTTGGATACCTATTGATTATAGGAGGTATGTGAAAAGTACAGGAAAGAGCCCAAGGACTCCCAGACTACTAGTTGGAATGATTTGTGATTCATGAGTTTAATAAAGAAACTATGATAACATGGATTGGTGTCAATTTAGCAAATACTCAAAAAACACTGATTATTTCTCAACACACTTTTAAAACTCCCTAACTGTATTCCCTTGCTAACTATTGAAGAAGTTCACTTGATCCAACTTCATTTGGAATGTAAAATTTCTGGCAATGAAATACTTCTATGCAGAGAGGCATTCCAAATAAAAAAAGAAGTATTTCAAATTGCCCTCTTTTAGATCATACAGTATCCTTCCTCTTCATTTTTCAAGTGTGATCCCTGAGAATTTGTTGGGAATGTAAACTCTTGGTCCCCTACACCCGACCTACTGAACCAGAAGCCCAGCAAGCAGTGTTTTAACAAGACCTCCAGGTGATCCTGGCGCTCCGTATCTACTGAAAACAACTCTAGGGGTTATGTGAGTGGCAGCTACAGCCAGATCCAGAGTCTCTTACCAGCCTTTCTTGTTCCCAGAATCAGATATAATTAGGGCCTGTTGGCAAAGGGAGACTGCAGAAAAAAAAAAAAAAAAAAAAAACCACCTTTTTTGTTGAACTGTTTATTTTCGGTTAACTTCTAGAAATTTCTCCAGGACAAAACTGGTGCTGAGAAGTATTTTATTGGCTTACACCAGCAAGAAAAGAACAGATGGCATTGGATAGACAACTCCATGTTCAATGGCAAGTATGTGAATATCTCACATTTTTTTCTGAGAATCTTAGTTCGCCTAAAGAAACCTGACCTGAGATTCAGTGGGTTTGTCCTGGAATAACACAAAGGCTGAGACTTAGTTTTTTGTTTTATTCCTCTCCTTACTTCCACCCATCTATTTCGAGAGACATTTTTTTTGTAAACTTTTATAAAGAAAAATATCAAACATTTTTAAGTAGAAGGGTATTTATTCATACAATGAGTTATTTTGTTTAAATCAAAATCCAAACAAATCCATCTACATTCCATTTGTTTGATGTATCTCGTAAGTCTCATTTAACCCACAGACCATACTTTATTACTAAGTTCTTATAAATTCCCCAGATGGGGCTTCTTTATATAAAGAAAGGTTATTTTTTTAAAAAAAGTTATTATTAGCAAATGTCTGTGCCATAAAACTATGAGCTTTAATTCCCAAGAGATATCTTCTATGTGTCATTCCATGGACATGAGCATTGGTGGAGAACATGACATTCCTGGTGTATGTATCAAGATGTTGTCAGACAGAATGTAAGTCAGTTCCCCAATCTATAACTGGGGCTTCTCACAGAAAGAGGAAATTAAGATTCATTCAATGTCTACTAAATGCTAGTCACTTGCTAAGTGCTTACTCATGTCATTTCCTAAAGTATTCACAAAGAAGCTGTAGAAAATGCTTTTATTAATCTCCGTTTAACAGTTGAATTGAGGATGAGAGGCTTAAAAATGTACTGATTATCACCAAGCTGGGAAATGGAAGAGCCACATTTTAATTCCACATGCACTCGACTACAAAAGTAATGATCTTTCCATGAAACCTCTTTCCAGTCAGATTGAATGACAGAAAAAGAGGTAGAAAGTCAACACACTTTCTTCTAAAGCCAGCTGGTTCCTCTTTCCACCTCCTCCTGGCCCTCCTGCTGTGAATGTAGTGCATATAGTATTAAAACATTATTTCTGAGAGCAAAAGACAGATGTGGTATTTCTAACCAAGTACAAGAGTGAGTTAGTCCAAGACTGTGAGTCCACAAACACTCACAGGAGAGCTCACAGGAAAGGGCGAGTGTGGAGCTGGATTTGGGGACGAGGATCAGTAAAAAGCAGGGCTGAAATGATGGGCCTTTACCACACTTTCTCTCCCATTTAGCATTACCAATCAGCATCAGAGCTTCAACTGTGCGACCATTGGCCTAACAAATACATATGATGCTGCACCTTGTGATGTCAACTTCCGCTGGATCTGTGAGAAGGAGGCCAAATGATTGCAGTTCTCTGTGGCCTCTGACAAGAATGACAAATATACTTATGGAGAAAGCAAAAGAATATAATTAGGATTGGTCCAGGACACACAGAGCATCAAATTAGTGTGTCAGTCCTCCACAGATCACTAACAGAGCTCCCTAACTCATCCTTGGGGCTAGTGCTCCAGCCCCTCCACAAATAGACTCACATACACACAACAGAGGCAAACTCCCCATTCTAGGCCAGCAAGTCCCCTGAGACTCCACTTCCTCTGAGCGTCACACCTGTGACTCTTTTTAGGTATGTACCAGGCACCTGTCAATGACTCCTTTCTCCATCTATCTACTAGGAGAGGTCCTTGCCCATGTAGGGAAATTATCTTCTGCTCTGGGGGATTAGGTGCTAGCCCAGGAGACAGGGTCATTTTATGGAGAAAACTCAGTTAATACAATGGCAAGGTCTGTTTCCACAGAACTGAGTATTTCTGACTGATCAACAGGGTTTAGGCTGTTGCCAGGGTCTGTTTTATCCTCAGAACACATGCCTCTACTACTGGGGAGAAACTGCAGACTCAATAGGTGAAAACATTATTTAAAATAGCAGGGACAGAAGAGAGATAAACTCAGCTCCCTGACCTCATCTCTGTTCCTAAGAGATCCTTGTTCACATGCTCCCGACCTACACTCCAGGTGGGATAGCAGAGTCCTCCTCAGGCTGAATTGAGGCCAGGCCTGGGGAAGGGTTCCTGGAGCCAAGCTTAGAGCAGAGATAGCATTGTTCACAGGAATGGAGAGGGGTCCAGCCAGGACAGGAATCTTCCAGGAAATCCTTTTGAAAATAACCAGACAGGGAAGCCTGGGTTGCTCAGTGGCTGGGCATCTGCCTTTGGCTCAGGGCATGATCCCAGGGTCCTGGGATCGAGGCCCACATCAGGCTCCCCACAGGGAACCTGCTTCTCCCTCTGCCTAAGTCTCTGCCTCTCTCTGTGTGTGTCTCTCATGAATAAATAAAATCCAAGAAAGAAAGAAAGAAAGAAAGAAAGAAAGAAAGAAAGAAAGAAAGAAAGAAAGAAAGAAAGAAAGAAAGAAAGAAAGAAACCAGACAGCCAAGATGACCAAGCAAACTGATCAATATTTTTCTTTTTTTTTTTTATCAATATTTTTCTACAAAGCTCTGAATTGACACTCAAGCTTAAACATTCCTGGTCTTGACCTGAATCTCCATTTTAGTAGGTTTTTATTACCTGACCATGCTTTTTAAGTGTATTTTAAGAATTTATAGGAGTCTCCTGTCCCCCAGTGATCACAAGATACTCCTACCTGCAGTTTAGAGAGGCCCTGCTGCCAGGTATAGCTCATGACCCAAAGATGTTATAGCCTTGTACTGAATGACATCACACCAACCCAGAACTGGTCCAGTTGACCAAGGAGTAAAACAGAAGAGGACTGCTCAAGGAAACATAGGGTGTAGGCAAGAAGTAGACATACAGTAGCGAGAGTAGAGAGAGAACACCAGGGACAAGTGGCAATCATATGCAAGAGGAAGCAGAGTTCATTTGGCCATACTGGAAGAAAGGCAAGAAAAAGGCAGAAAAGTCTTGGGGGCATCCTGGCAATTCTCTGCACTTGCAACAAAACATCAACTTCATACTCTCTTCAGTAAATGGAAAGTAAAAGTGACATGCCTCTGTGTTTGGAGTAACAAGAATTAAACCATAAGAGAAGACTGTAGTAAAACTAATAGAAATTATAGTCACCTAAGTAAACTGTTCACCATTTGTGTCTAATGACAACATACCACAATGACTGTGTATATCATCAGATGTGTGTCAAAGAAAATTAATGTTTAATTTTTAGTTACAATACTAGGTTCTGTTTCTATATTCCTAGGTCTCATAATTTTTGTCCAATTGGCATGGCTAATGAGGTAATATATTAAGTGTTAGAAGTTGTTTGAAGGAAGTTACCAGAAATAATTTGTTTGGGGTGGAGCAGATGTGGTGTTAGCAAAGAATAAATGCTGCAGTTGAGGAGTGGTGAGAGGCTGAGACTATGCTTGATAAAAAAATAAACAGAATTATACACCAAGTGTAAGCCCCAGAATCCAGACAACAGAAAGAAAACCCCAACTGTTCTATTTTGAGAAGGGAGAATTGTGGTTGCCATACTTCTTGTTTTGTGACAGAATAAATTTCAGACTTCCAAAGTCAGGAAATGTAGACATGTAGTAATTTCCCTAGTAGACAGCCCAAATTTTTCCCAAGATGAGGACATACTTCTATGAAAGTTCTAAAAGAGGCCCAGTGGGCTGAGGTGGAGGTAAGTAGCATATAGGGAATACGGACCCTTCGGTTTTAAATTCATTACTGGGGAGTACAGGTGTTGTTGGATCTTGAAGAGCATAGATAAATGTGACCTTATTGGGCAGCAGTGGTATTTTTTTTTAATGCAATGGAAATTTAGCAAACCATGGATTAGAATGTTTGGCTTTGCTTCCAATATGTGATATAAATCTGTACAGATTTCTTACTCTTTCTGTTCCTTAATTTCATTACTTATAAAATGAGGCAGTAACCCCTCCTCACAAAATTCTTGTGTATATTAAGTAAAATTCCCACTATGTCCCTCAGCAGCCATAAACAATAGGGGAAGCACTTTGTGGAAGATTTGAAGTTGAGATCTTTATCCAAGAAGGAGCTCTTCAATAGCTAAAAGCTGAATGTAGGAAAGCCACTTAATTTCTCAGAATTTCTGTTTACTCATTTACAATATAGGAATAAAAATATGTCCAAGTCAGGAAAAGGTACTTCAAAAATTCTGTGACTGTCAAAACCATACCTCCCATGGCTCTGGCTTACATTACCCATCTTGTCTGTGTGAGTTGTTGGGCCCATGACCAAAGTCATTAACCCCTGTCCACAGATGTTGACACATCAGTACTGATTCACAACTAAAAACATCAGGTAGAGGTAACCTTTGCCTATTTGCCCTCCTGTTGCCAATCCCCACCCTCAAAAGCCATATCCTCTGGTGACATTTGCATTCTGAATAGTCCTGCTTCACTTCCTGAGTCTCCCTTAGCAGGGGCTCAGTGATAATGCACTAAATGTCTGACCCTCCACTTTTACCATAGCCTCTCATAAAGACTATGACTCCGGCAAGGGGCACCCATGATTCCCTCAGGTATCTTTACTACTGGCCAGTGAGTCTGCAGTAGCAGAGGTGTTTGAGTATCTCTCAAGCTATCATCTTGCTCAACTTTCAGGTACAAAGATTGAAATAAAAATCCTTCATAAGACCTTCCCATAATTGGCACATGCATGGTATTCTTTTGTGTATTTGTTTTGTTATAGTTGTACATGTCTGTGTGTATACATATATAGATACCCATATATAACTATATATAATACATATGTAATAACACTCATGAAACTACTGAACATGAAAACTAGAATCTTTTTCATTGAGAGAGAGGGAGAGCAGGCGAGTCGGGGGTGGGGGGAAGGACTGAGGGAGAGGGAGAGGGAGAGAATCTTAAGCAGGCTCCATACTCAGGGGTATCCCAACGCAGGGCTCAATCTCACAGCCCTGAGACCACAACCCTGAGATCATGACCTGAATCAAAACTAAGAGTCAGACGCTTAGCTGAATGAGCCACCCAGGTATCTCTGAAAACTAGAATCTTTACAACAGTTATATTTACTTCTGTGGTCTTCTCTGATTCCACCCTTCTATCTCTCCACAACATAGGCAGCCACCATTACGATTCCTGTGTTCATCATTCAGTTTTTTAAAAAGTCATTTTCATCTCATTTTATGTATCCTTTCTGGCTTTATAAAAAGGCATTGTGATGTAAGTAATCATTTAGAACTTGTTTTTTTAAAGATATTTTTCTATTTATTTATTTCAGAAAGAGAGAGAGGAAGCACATGAGTTGGGGATAGGCAGGGGTGGGGGCAGGAGGAGAGGGAGAGGGACAAGCAGACTCCTCACTGAGTGCAGAGCCTGAGTTGGGCTGATCTCATGACCTGAACCACCAAAATCAAGAGTCAGATGCTTAAACAACTCAGCTATCCAGGTGCTCCAAGAACTTGTTTTCTTCTCTCTTTTTTTTTTTCATTTAATGTTAAATGATTCATTCATATTGTTGAGTCATTAATCTTGACTACTATATAATATTCAATTGTGTGACTATAAAAACCATGACTGTTCTAGTTGGTGTGCAATCAGATTTCTGACAGGTTTTTGTAAATGTAAACTGTGCTACAATGAACATTCTTTTGGTGTTCATACACAAGAGTTTCTCTTGAGTTTATCCTGAAAAGAAAAATGTTGAGGTATAGGGTATATAAGTTTTTACTTTTTTTAGGTAATGCAGAATAGTTTCCTTTATTTATTTATTTATTTATTTATTTATTTATTTATTTATTTATTTATTTATTTTTAATAAATTAATTTTTATTGGTGTTCAATTTACCAACATACCAATAACAACCAGTGCTCATTCCGTCAAGTGTCCCCCTCAGTGCCTGTCACCCATTCACCCCCACCCCCCGCCCTCCTCTCCTTCCACCACCCCCAGTTCATTTCCCAGAGTTAGAAGTCTTTATGTTCTGTCTCCCTTTCTGATATTTCCCACACATTTCTTCTCCCTTCCCTTATATTCCCTTTCACTATTATTCATATTCCCCAAATGAATGAGAACATACACTGTTTGTCCTTCTCCGATTGACTTACTTCACTCAGCATAATACCCTCCAGTTCCATCCACGTTGAAGCAAATGGTGGGTATTTGTCCTTTCTAATGGCTGAGGAATATTCCATTGTATACACAAACCACATCTTCTTTATCCATTCATCTTTCGATGGGCACCGAGGCTCCTTCCACAGTTTGGCTATTGTGGACATGGCTGCTAGAAACATCAGGGTGCAGGTGTCCCGGCGTTTCATTGCATCTGAATCTTTGGGGTAAATCCCTAACAGTGCAATTGCTGGGTCGTAGGGCAGGTCTATTTTTAACTCTCTGAGGAACCTCCACACAGTTTTCCAGAGTGGCTGCACCAGTTCACATTCCCACCAACAGTGTAAGAGTGTTCCCTTTTCTCCGCATCCTCTCCAACATTTGTTGTTTCCTGCCTTGTTAATTTTCCCCATTCTCACTGGTGTGAGGTGGTATCTCATTGTGGTTTTGATTTGTATTTCCCTGATGGCAAGTGATGCAGAGGATTTTCTCATGTGCATGTTGGCCATGTCTATGTCTTCCTCTGTGAGATTTCTCTTCATGTCCTTTGCCCATTTCATGATTGGATTGTTTGTTTCTTTGCTGTTGAGTTTAATAAGTTCTTTATAGATTTTGGAAACTAGCCCTTTATCTGATATGTTATTTGCAAATATCTTCTCCCATTCTGTAGGTTGTCTTTGAGTTTTGTTGACTGTATCCTTTGCTGTGCAAAAGCTTCTTATCTTGATGAAGTCCCAATAGTTCATTTTTGCTTTTGTTTCTTTTGCTTTCATGGATGTATCTTGCAAGAAGTTACTGTGGCCAAGTTCAAAAAGGGTGTTGCCTGTGTTCTCCTCTAGGATTTTGATGGAATCTTGTCTCACATTTAGATCTTTCATCCATTTTGAGTTTATCTTTGTGTATGGTGCAAGAGAGTGGTCTAGTTTCATTCTTCTGCATGTGGATGTCCAATCTTCCCAGCACCATTTATTGAAGAGACTGTCTTTCTTCCAGTGGATAGTCTTTCCTCCTTTATCGAATATTAGTTGGCCATAAAGTTCAGGGTCCACTTCTGGGTTCTCTATTCTGTTCCATTGATCTATGTGTCTGTTTTTGTGCCAGTACCACACTGTCTTGATGACCACAGCTTTGTAGTACAACCTGAAATCTGGCATTGTGATGCCCCCAGATATGGTTTTCTTTTTTAAAATTCCCCTGGCTATTCGGGGTCTTTTCTGATTCCACACAAATCTTAAAATAATTTGTTCTAACTCTCTGAAGAAAGTTCATGGTATTTTGATAGGGATTGCATTAAACGTGTAAATTGTCCTGGGTAACATTGACATTTTCACAATATTAATTCTGCCAATCCATGAGCATGGAATATTTTTCCATCTCTTTGTGTCTTCCTCAATTTCTTTCAGAAGTGTTCTATAGTTTTTAGGGTATAGGTCCTTTACCTCTTTGGTTAGGTTTATTCCTAGGTATCTTATGCTTTTGGGTGCAATTGTAAATGGGATTGACTCCTTGATTTCTCTTTCTTCAGTCTCATTGTTAGTGTATAGAAATGCCATTGATTTCTGGGCATTGATTTTGTATCCTGCCACGCTACCAAATTGCTGTATGAGTTCTAGCAATCTTGGGGTGGAGGCTTTTGGGTTTTCTATGTAGAGTATCATGTCATCGGCGAAGAGGGAGAGTTTGACTTCTTCTTTGCCAATTTGAATGCCTTTAATGTCTTTTTGTTGTCTGATTGCTGAGGCTAGGACTTCCAGTACTATGTTGAATAGCAGTGGTGAGAGTGGACATCCCTGTCTGGTTCCTGATCTTAGGGGAAAGGCTCCCAGTGCTTCCCCATTGAGAATGATATTTGCTGTGGGCTTTTCCTAGATGGCTTTTAAGATGTCGAGGAAAGTTCCCTCTATCCCTACACTCTGAAGTGTTTTGATCAGGAATGGATGCTGTATTTGGTCAAATGCTTTCTCTGCATCTAATGAGAGGATCATATGGTTCTTGGTTTTTCTCTTGCTGATATGATGAATCACATTGATTGTTTTACGAGTGTTGAACCAGCCTTGTGTCCCGGGGATAAATCCTACTTGGTCATGGTGAATAATTTTCTTAATGTGTTGTTGGATCCTATTGGCTAGTATCTTGTTGAGAATTTTTGCATCCATGTTCATCAGGGATATTGGTCTGTAATTCTCCTTTTTGGTGGGGTCTTTGTCTGGTTTTGGAATTAAGGTGATGCTGGCCTCATAGAATGAATTTGGAAGTACTCCATCTCTTTCTATCTTTCCAAACAGCTTTAGTAGAATAGGTATGATTTCTTCTTTAAACGTTTGATGGAATTCCCCTGGGAAGCCATCTGGCCCTGGACTCTTGTGTCTTGGGAGGTTTTTGATGACTTCTTCAATTTCCTCCCTGGTTATTGGCCTGTTCAGGTTTTCTATTTCTTCCTGCTCCAGTTTTGGTAGTTTGTGGCTTTCCAGGAATGCGTCCATTTCTTCTAGATTGCCTAATTTATTGGCGTAGAGCTGTTCATAATATGTTTTTAAAATCATTTGTATTTCCTTGGTGTTGGTAGTGATCTCTCCTTTCTCATTCATGATTTTATTAATTTGAGTCTTCTCTCTCTTCTTTTTAATAAGGTTGGCTAATGGTTTTTCTATCTTATTAATTCTTTCAAAGAACCAACTCCTGGTTCTATTGATCTGTTCCACAGTTCTTCTGGTCTCAATTTCGTTGAGTTCTGCTCGAATTTTAATTAACTCTCTTCTTCTGCTGGGCGTCGGGTCGATTTGCTGCTTCTTCTCTAGCTCCTTTATGTGTAAGGTTAGCTTTTGTATTTGAGTTCTTTCCAGGTTTTGAATGGATGCTTGTATTGCGATGTATTTCCCCCTCAGGACTGCTTTTGCTGCATCCCAAAGATTTTGAACGGTTGTATCTTCATTCTCATTAGTTTCCATGAATCTTTTTAATTCTTCCTTAATTTCCTGGTTGACCCTTTTATCTTTTAGCAGGATGGTCCTTAACCTCCACGTGTTTGAGGTCCTTCCAAACTTCTTCTTGTGATTGAGTTCTAATTTCAAGGCGTTATGGTCTGAGAATATGCAGGGGACGATCCCAATCTTTTGGTATCGGTTCAGACCCGATTTGTGACCCAGTATGTGGTCTATTCTGGAAAAAGTTCCATGTGCACTTGAGAAGAATGTGTATTCAGTTGAGTTTGGATGTAAAGTTCTGTAGATATCTGTGAAATCTATCTGGTCCAGTGTATCATTTAAAGCTCTCGTTTCTTTGGAGATGTTGTGCTTAGAAGACCTATCGAGGGTAGAAAGAGCTAGATTGAAGTCACCAAGTATAAGTGTATTATTATCTAAGTATTTCTTCACTTTGGTTAATAATTCGTTTAAGTATTTGGCAGCTCCCACA